TGATAGTCAATGAAGGACTCTATCAAATGCATCCTATACCAAAATTTTATAGATGATTTAAGGTAGCAAGGTTTCTAGAAAATCCAAAACCGTATTTTTCAGCTCTCAGACGACTTTGCAATAATTTGTTTTTAACAGTACTAACTTAAAGAACACAAAATTTTGAACAAAATGAAGGATCGCCGTCTTTTCTATGACCTTCCTTTCAAAAGTTATAAGCATCACAAAAATCGAAAAAATACGTTTTTTAGCGATTTCTTGATAAATTTCACTTTTTTTCCAGTTTTTGTAATGCTTATAACTTTTGAAAGGAAGGTCATAGAAAAGACGGCGACCCTTCATTTTATTCAAAATTTTGTGTTCTTTAAGTTAGTACTGTTAAAAACAAATTATTGCAAAGTCTTCTGAGACCTGAAAAATACGGTTTTGGATTTTCTAGAAACCTTGCTACCTTAAATCATCTATGAAATTTTGGTATAGGATGCATTTGATAGAGTTCTTCATTGGCTATCAGAATCACTATTTGGATTTTAGTTAGATGTTTGTTGTTATAGAAAAAATCAAAAATACATTTTCGTTTAAATTTTTGTCTTTGACTGTATATAACTTTTTGAAAAAAGACCAACTTCTAGCAGACTTTCGAAAGAAATTTCGACCTTACTACCTAGTTTTTTGGAAAAGTTTCGTGATTTTTTTAAAAAGTTCTTTAGTTTTGGGAGACTGTCACTTTTTGTTTGCATCAGTATTGAATAAACATTCTTATAATATTTAAGCACGACAAATACTGTTGGCTTATGTCATCTGTAGTGTACTTTTAAAAATGCCATTTAAATATATTTTTCTTTTTCGAGATTTGAATGAAAAAAATGCATATCTAAACTGATCTACTGTTTTTCTCAGAACATGGTTTTCAATCAAAAAAATTCAAAGTCTTCTCGTTCGGTTCATGATATAACCAATAGTTTTTTTATTTTAAAGGTCTAAATGAGAGTAAATTTTTATTCGATCAGATTTTTTTTATAATTGATTTTTGTGTTGAAAAAAGCGAGATTTAGTGTCGTGAAGTGAAATTCTTTTAACACCTTTTGTACTAAGTTGATGATAAAACATGAATGGAAATCAATGTCAAAATTTTATTTGGACAAAAATTGTGCAAGGATATTGGCTTTAATTTGAAACTACATCGAGTTCTATACCTTTTGTGGTGACGAAATTATAAAGATTCTTCTCAAGACGTTAATGGACTATAAATAAGCCATATATTCACTCTAGTTTGACAGATCGCGCTGGAATTTTTAGCAGAAGCATTTCTCACTAGGATCGTTCATCTCTGGAAATTTCAACCCAAATGGAAAATTGGTCCTAGGGGGAGGGAGGGAGAGCTTAAGAACGATCTCACGATCTTGAAATAATAATCGTTTATTATATACAATTGTCTTTCGACTAAACTATTTTAAATCTTATCAATTTAATTCATTTTCTCAGATTTTCATTTTTGTATAGCTGAAAAATTTTTAAAACAATGGGTGACTCGTAATAAATGGCGACATTTTGCATTTCATATTTTTATTTCTAAATATGTTTTATTAAGAAACCGAACATATCACAAGAGGTACCGTAGAAAGCTCTACAATCTTCAAAGTACAGCTTATTTTAATCGTGTACCTTTTTTTCAAAAAAAAAAAGCAAAATTCTGTGCGACCAATTTTTCCTGCTACGAAAAGATCATTTTTTTTTCTACACGAACGAGGAATTCCTTTTTTTTTGCTTATTCCACCTTTTTATCGTCTAATATGTTATCTTACAAAAACTAAATATACCACAAGATGCAGCATGAAAAACTTCACAATCTAGAAAGTAAAGCTGATTTTAATTGTGTACTTTTTGCTTCGTTCGAAAAGAAAAAGTAAACGATTAAAATCAGCTTCACTTTCTAAATTATAAAGCTTTTCACGTTACATTCTGTAGTATATTCTATTTTTTAATAAAACATATTTAGAGATTAACATATGAAATTCATAGTGCGGCTGTTTTTTATGAATCACTCGTTGCTCTTATCTTATTGTATAGTTTAATATCTGGTTAAAGAGTAGGTAATAAAATTATTACGAGTAATTGTTTTACAAATATAACATATATGTTTTGGTTATTTATTTATTAGCTTCCAACATTAAATCTTTTACAATCAGATCAATCATTATTAATTACTAATCAATGGACACTTCTCACAAATTTATTACATTGTTATAAAGAATCACAGATACTACCGTTCAGTCAACGTTTAATAGATGCACATGATGATTTAAAATCTAATTATGTGATTTACAAAGGACTTGTAGAAGAATTCTTAGTATCGATTTACAAAACAGTAGAGCAATATCTTTGTTTCAATGATGATCTTCGTAAATTATCATCGAATGATCGTTCCATAATACTTCGTAGTGCTGCTGACAATTTGTGCTGTATGAGTGGTGCATTCATTATGCAACATTGTCATTTATATGATCTTGATGCTTACTTGAAAGTTATAAATGAAAAGTTTGGAAAATCTCCAATGAATATTCATTTTTGGGCAAGAAAATTTGTTGATCGAGATATTGTATTGGTCAAACTGTCTCTTTCATTATTCGCTTTCTCTGAAAACACTTGTTGTTATTATTCAAATACTTCAGATAATTTAACAAATCCTATTGATATTTTAGAGATTCAAAACAAGTATGTAGAAGTAACATGGAAATATCTTCTCTACAAATATGGTTACTACAATGCTATGAAACGATTTCTTAATATAACTCTTTGGCTTGCATCTATGAATATTTTAGCGGTTCATGCTCAATCTCTGCCAGTACATGTTCATAATGTTAATTCAATTATTGAGCAAACTGAATTGACACTTATTTTAGATGATGTTGATCAAATAATTGAAATAAATCAGTAGTAGTCAGTCTTTTTTTCTCAGATGTTTTCTATTACTACTATTTTATTTATCAGTCATAATTAAAATTTGTATTAAAAAAAATAAAGATATGTATAAATCACTTTAAAAAAGTAACCTAAAAGTATATACGTATATATTTGAAATAAAACTGTTCAGTTTATATCATAGGTCATCATCCAAAAAGTATTAATCAATCGCATTGGCATTAATTATATTTAATGACTTAGAACCTAATCCTTAAAAGCCAAATGTCACTTCCAAGAGACATCATGATAATTGATATCAAAAAATGTAATAAAACTTCATATTCAATTTACGAATAGTTTTTCAAGTTAAGATAATATGATAGGTTATAGAATGAAAAATAA